AAGAGTGGCTTTTGTTTGCTCATTGTGGTGACGCTTTCAAAAATGGGCTACAATAAAAAATAGTAACAGTAATGTTTTAAAGAAAAAGTACCAAGGGAACCACAGTTCAATGAGATCAAGCTTGTCACTAACTGTTCCACATGGGTTGTTCTTCTCTAATAAAAAAAAGAAAAAGGGTTTCAAACGTCAATTGAGAGCTAGTTATGATAGAGAGCCTGCCTCGTACGTGAGGAGCCCTGCTTTCAATCCTCAGCATCCCCACATGAGCAAAAGAAAGAAATGCATAAAACTTACTAATGTAACACATCACAATCTAAATGGTCAAGTTTCTCATTAAATTTTAACCTATAGCTACACAACCAAAACATCAACATACTGGGATAGAAAGACAAAAAAATGAACTGTCTAATAAGTAATACATGAGAAATGGCTACAATATAAAAATCCCAACAAATACAACTTGTTAACATTGCCTTCACCCAAAATCACAGCTACTTTATCTCCTGGCAACTAACAAATTTATTTTCTATAAATGCAGTATTATTTTAAATTGTTATTATTAATGTTTCCATTCTCACTCTTTCTAATACATAGTTGTGATCTGATCACGTAGAACATGGGAGACATGAAGTCTACAATATCATCTTAATTATAAGAGATTAATAATGAAGTCAGTGGTTAAAAGCACTGTCTGTCTTCAGAGGACCCAGGTTTGATTCCCAGCTCCCATAGAGCACAACCTTGTCTAACTCCAGTCCCAGGGGACCTGATTCTCTCTTCTGACCTCTGTTGGTACCAGGAAAAACACTCAAACACATAAAATAAAATAATAATGCAGTCAGATGCCATCATATCTATAATGATACTCTCTTGGGATTTAGCTTGATTAGCATGTACAAGACCCAGGGGTTCAAATTCCCAGCACCATATAACAAGTAAACGAATAAAAACACAGAATTACCTCTATATATATATAAAAAAAAGAGACATGCAAAACTAAGAAAACCAGGAGAAAGAAGGTTATATGGGACAGTTATCTTTCTCAGAGGAAGTGAGTCTAGAGGACCTAGTCCTACTCTACAGGAGATTCTTAGGGAGCACAGTCTGTGCTCTCTGTGTGCTGACGCTGTGGTATGCTGGCTGCGACATTTGCTTATTACGCCTTAACAAAAGAGGGACACAGACAAATTCACAAACACTAAACATCACTAAGACTATATAAGAGAAAAAACTGTGGATCAACGACCATTTCCCGCATATCTATTTCATCACTGGAATGAGTAAAGGAGATTCCTCAGCAGACAGGACAACAGAAACAAAGACCCTTCGGCTAGAATTTGCTTAAGAAACAATCCAGCAGCCTGAGAAGCCCAGTGTCTCAGCAGTCAAGAGCTGCATACAGTTTTACAACCTGGAGTAAGCTGCATCTCATCTTCCTGTCTTATTATTTGCAGTTGAGTAAAGCAGCATTTTTTTCTTTCTAAGACTAAGCAAAATTCTGGATTTCATGAGCGATTTTTGTTTTGTTTTTCTTTTAGTAAGGTTAGTTTTAACATGACCCCACGGGAGAAAAAAGTTAATACACTGAAACTAAGTAGTTACTTTCCCTTTTACTATTCAATCAGCTGTTCAAAATTAAGCAAACTTGAAGACATTTATTTCAATGTAGAAATATACAATAATAGAAACGAAACATGTCACTATGTAATTTTTAAAAACAGATACTAAGATAAAAATTAACCCATCTGTTAAGCTGCCCCAGAAGCATACTACAGAAATGTCATTGTAAAAGATCAACACTGAGAAAACTTAGTTTTTTTACACTTCAGAAATAAAGACACCATCCTTTGTATGGCTGAGCTTTAAAAAAAAGTCTGTCACTTACAATGCACAAGCACATATGTTGAACGCTGAAGGGCAGACCCAAAGGCAGCAATGCGTCCTGATTCTACAAGGGCCTTGAGGAAAGGAGCCGAGTCTACTGCCCACACGTGTGCCTGGCCAAAGTGTTAAACATGGAACAGGTATGAAGGCCAGACTGGCTTTAGCTAATCAAAAAATTGACTATGGCAACTACATCAACTAGACAGCTGATGAATGGAGAAATGAAAACAACACTGAGGATTAGACAACAGCATTACATTTGTTCTGACACTGTAACAGACAAAGATCTGAAGGGGAAAAGGTCCCCCAAAGTTCAGGCTGTGGGCAGGGTAGCAACAAACTCACTGCTTCAACTGCACTGTGATAGCCAAATGCTCTATGAAGAAACTAAACCTGTCTTTCAAACATTGCTAATAAGGAAAATTCACTGGTGAATTTTACCCAATATCAATGCCACTTTTTTTCTTATAGTTTAGTATGCTTATGTGTTTTGCCTGTACGTGTGTATCTGTGCACCACTTAAATTCTAGGAGGCCAGAAAAAGGCATTGGATCCCTGGAACTGGAGTTACAGAGGGTTGTGAGTTGTCATGTGGGTGCTGGGATCAAACTGGGGTCTTCTAGAAGAACAATCAATCATCCTGTCCACTAAGCTGTCTTCCAGTCCCAAGCTATGCCACTTTCATATAAACTTCGAAATAATGAAGAGGAACATTCCCAACTTACTTTATGTGACCAGCATTACTAGACCAAACCCAAACACACACACACACACACACACACACACACACACACACACACACACACACACACACTTTATAATGCGCCTTTTTTCATTATCTCACTTTGGTAAACAATTCTGGTTTTATTATCCTCATTATCTGCTTTTTATGTTTTCTTAACATTTCACTCATGAAGTAACCAACCTCTGTCGACAGGTCTCATTAATTCCCTAGAAAGAAACGCCTGTGGTGTGAGGATACAGTTGAGTGGATGATGTACTTACTAAGCAGGGATGAAGACCCATGTTCAGACCTCCGTGCTGGCCTGTCTGAGTTTTAATCAAGCTCATGAGGATGTGAAATTGTATTTTATTAGTTAATTTCTTCTACTGAACTACCTGTCTCTTCCCAGAATTTTTCTCTTTTGCTGCTTTTAAACTTCACTTATTTTATATTATTTCTATCTTTCTGTTTTTAGTTCTGGGGTATTTCTTTGACTTTGGTTTATAGGTCATTATTCTGGTCTTTGTGTTTATTATTTAGCATTTTCCAACTAACTTAATTTGGTAAACACATCTTTTCATTTGTATATACCTGTGTGTTAGGAGGCGAGTGTACCAGCACATGGGCCTTTAGAGGCTAGAGTGCAATGTCTGGTATCTTTGTTACTCTCCATGTTATTTCTGGAAGTCTCTCATGAACCTGAAGCTCACTAGTTGGCTAGACCCACCGGCTGCTGGTGAGATCCTGGGATCCCCATTACTCCATTTCCTCAGCACTGGGATTACAGGGGTTCGCCACCATGTTCAGCTTTTTATGTGGATGCTCAGAATCTGAACTCAGATCAAGACTGTATAGCACATTAGTCACTAGGTCATTTCCCCAGTTTCTTGGCAGACATTCCTAAGAACTGTGGTTTTGATTCTTTTTAGTATCAGTCTGAACATAATCATCTGAGATCATTTCTTTGTCCAGCCCATAAAAAAAAGCAGAAAATAATTCTCATGGTTTCTAATACCTTGAATTATCCATCTGTTCTTTTTATGTTTTAACTTTAACAGAGCACTCCTGATAACTTGTTACATGATACACATGAGTTTGCCCTTCCAGTTTAAAGAAAGACTACTTAATTTGTTGCCAGTACAAATACTAATATGACAGAAAGAGCCATAGACCAAAAACTAGAAAGGCATAAGTAGAATGGCAATTATAGTATCTAAGTCTCAGCCTGCTTTTCTGTAAATTGTTGACTTATATCACTGAAGATGCCTCCCACTGGCCAGAAACCTTGGTCAGGAGTCAAAATAAATAAAGATCATTAAATAAAGCTACTTCACCTAATGTTTGGTAACAACAGCCCCCTCTAACTTAAAACAAACAAAAAAAATCAAAACACCCAAACTGTAAACATCCCCCAGAATCACAGACCTAACAAAACAGGTTAATATTAGCAGTCTGGAAACAAACTCTGAACCAGAAATAATCAGATACTGGGAAGGATTTTGCCCCAAGAGAGCTTTCCCAAACAGAATATAAACCTGAACGACTAAGCTGCGTTTCTGGCAAGAGACAAAATCCAAGTGCTGCAGAGGCAGAACCCTTCAGGGATGTTCCTTGAACAGAGTAAGCCAGTTATGAGCTGGTCCTCTAAGAAGACACCAACAAAAACCTATAAAAAGCCCTCATGCACTGAACACATTATTAGCATGGCTCTTGTAGACAGCTGACAGCAGCAAACAAGATTACTAAGAAAGACAGAATCATCATAACCTAAACTGTTTTATTACCATCATTTCTGAAATAACTCCAAATTTTATAAATCAAATACAGATGATATTTTTCTAAATATCAAAGAAGTTACAAAAATACTCTTTTTGGCGTGTATATATTTCTAGGCAACTGGAAAAACAAGACAACACAAGTATAGAATATTATCATAGCTCAATTCAACTGTTTGCAGTTTGGCAAAATCTTCAGGATATATTTTAACCATCTACAAAACATCTCTTACAAACTCAACATTATAAACGAACAACTTTTAAGTTATATTATTATGTTTTAAAAACTACACAACAATGCTTTTATTTTGCAACATATTACTTTGACAAAGAAGAGATCACACTGATATAACAGCATGTGACAAGATAAACGAAGCAGAAATCCCTCCATTCTGTAGTAAGTGTACACTGTTTTATTTTCTTTACAATCCCAAATGAATTCATTTCCTTAAGATCTTTTTTTTTTTCAAGAAATGGAAAAATGACTTAAAATACTATTCTAAAAGTTTTACTACTACTTTGATAATTTTGAATATGTATTATGAAAATGGATCATAAATAGTCCTTCCCATAATCATGTAGCTATAGATAACAGTATCTTGCTTCTCCCCTCATACCTATTGTATCTGGGAGGTCTAGTAGTTCATTGTGCTGCAAGTCAAGGTTGGTTATCTGTGTGCAGTTTCCAATCTCCTTTGGAAGGTGTTCAAGTTGATTGTGAGCTACATCCAGGGTAATGAGGTTACATAATTCACCTGTAAATTAATCAACATAATAATAAGTATTAAAGAACATATCAGGTTATACTTGTAAGCATGGGAGTACACTTATGATTCCTAAGTCCAACTTCTACTTTAAAATGGCAAATAATCTACTGAAGACACTCATATTGTGGAAAGAAATTTCAGCTCAAGCAAAGACTCTCACACTATTACTTCAAAGCTGATAGCCAGTGAAATTGAATGATGCTTATAAACCAATTCTTGATTCTGTCTTTTGGTACTAGGAATTGAACTCAAGGCCTCACACATACTAAGCACGGACTCTGTCACTGAACTACATACAAACTACTCTCCCCCTCTCATCATGTGTTGTACATTCCTTCTAAATAGGCATTTTGATCACAAATGCTAATATATTCTAAGACTTTTAAAAACCGACTAATTTTATTAGCCAAATTCAGCACATGGTATTACAGACATTTTCTACCTCAATATATGTATACTTTCAAAATGCATGTTCTGGTGCTATGCAAATGACTACATTAATATTTGAAGTAAAAATTCCTTCTCAATTTAATAGAAAATGAGGTATATTTCCCTTACCCAATCAAGGTTAGAAGAAGTACAAAGACAATTCAGATATTTCTTAGTATTATCTTTTTCTATTTGTAGTTATCTGTAGAACAGTACTCATGGAAGCATTATTCATCATAGTCAAAAAGTGAGTACAACCTCAAAAGTCCGAAGTCAATGAATAAACAAAATATTGTATGTATTAACAATAAATATTTTATAGCTTTATAAAGGAATGGAATTCTGATACATGCTAAAACTAGATAACCTTGAAAAATATGCTAAGTGAAATTAGCCAGACACAAGAGGGTAATACGTTATATGATCCCATTTATATAAGGTACTTAGAATAGCATTTATAGACAAAGTACAGTGGGTATTGGGTTCTGCAGAGGATGGGGAGTAGCAGTTTAATGGGCACACAATGTTGTTCTCAGATTATGAAAAAGATCTGTAGCTGGATAATGATGATAGTTGGACAATATGAACACACTTAATATCACTAGACCTCAAAATAAATTCTATGCCACATCTACTTTGTAACAAAACAAACAAACAAACAAACATGGTCAACCTAAAAGCCAATGCTGAGTTTATTTTTACATTGGCTAAGAGAAAAAAATCTCAGGGCTATCTTCACCTTCGGGTCAGAAAGGACCTAGGCAAGTCTAATAAAAATGTGTATACATCAACCAATAAAAGAATATACATAATAAAATTAAAACAGAATAAAGACAAGTCAACATATGTAAACACTGGTTGTTCAGGAAAAAAACAATATTTGATAATACTTACAAGACTTAAAATGATAAAAAAGAGAAAAAGAAAACACATACTACAAATATCAGCAATGAAACAAGCGAGTACATTCTACAAGCTTCCTTTTCATTTTTGATTTTGAAGCAAGACTTTCTCTGTAACCCAAGCTGGCCTTAAACTTGTCACTCTATGATTCCAGCCTCCAAAGCGGTGGGATTATGACAATGTACCTCCATACTCGGCCCAATTCTTACAGTTCTATTGTTATTGTTATTGTTATTGTTTTTGATGATGGGACAAGTTCTTCCTATATACACCTAGCTAGATCAGAACTCACTAGATAGATCAAGGCTAGTCTTAACTTGTAACAATCCCCTTGCCCTTGCCTCCCAGGTGCTAGGATTAAGCCTGTTTTACCATCTTTAAAATAAGTACTATTTAGCAACTTTATAACCATGGATCATAAGATCAAAAACTTAGGCTATATAAACAATTCCCTAAAAAAAAAAATACACACACACTACCACCAAAACTCAACAAGTAGGAACCCTCAATGATTCTCTTAACCACTAGACAAATTTTATGTGTAACTGAAAAGTTTTCTCTTCAAAAATTGAAGGCACCAATGGTTTCTCTGGAGACTCATACCAGATGCTTAAGCGAGAATTAAGTAATGTAGTCTGTCACAAGATGGAACTATTTCCAAACTCATTTTATTAGGCTAGCATTACCTTGATACCAAAAACAGTCAAAAAGACAACCCACAGATCAATGGCCAATTCCCTCTTTATATAATACGATGCCATACACACATACGTACATACATACATACGAACGAGACATAGAGACGTAATGTAAGAATTCATCAATTCCAGACATACAATGCTAGTTCTGTGCTTGAAAAATTAACCAATTGTAATTCACTGCATCAACAGTTCTAAGAGAGAAAAATAATCTGCTGAGTGATATAAGTATTTTATAAACTAAAAATACTTTTAATGTTAAAAATCCTAATAAGGAAGAGAGAAGAAATTTACATATGTATTTAATTCTGATTTTTATTCTCACACGTAAAAACTTGAAGTCAACACTCCTGTCCTCACAATACTAATGAAAAGACAGTGGACAGACAACTCCTGTCACGTTTTTCAAAAACTTGAGGACAAAGGGCAAATTCATGAGCTAAAAACTACAGAGAAATGTGAATTCAGAGATTTAGTTTACCAGAAGTAACAGCTAGAGCTTAGAAGAACAGTTCAAAGGTAACTGCTGCTTTACACACTGTGGGATGCAGGAGAGATAACTGGAGAGACAGCAAGAATGGAACCTCCCCCAAAAGGAAGGGGTGTGTGTGTGTGTGTGTGTGTGTGTGTGTGTGTGTGTGTGTGTGTGTGTGTGTGTGTGTGTGTGTCTCTCGTCGTCATGCAGGACCGCAGAGCAAAGACAGCAGGAAAACTATTAATCTCACCGTAGACACAAACAGTCTGCAGGGCTAAGTCTGCACTAGCACCCGCCCTGCTTGTACTGGTGCACTGGGCAAACGTCCTTCAGATGAGTCTTTCAATAAAGACCATGTGCTATCTCAGTGTTCCCTTTATGTGCCTGTACTAACACACAAAATTGTGAAGATTATACCAAAGGATGACATTAGAACTCTCTCACTCCCTCTCTCAACAGAATCTGTCATTTGTAATGAAATTCTCATTCTGTCAACACCACTAGTTCTAATACATGAAAAAAAAAAAAAAAAAAACAGATTGAGTAGTATCTATACTAAAGGCAGATGCACTTAGCTATGTGATTTCTATATCCTTCGAGTTATTAACAGCTTGGTAAAATAAATAGTCAATATTAGTTCATTTGACTTAATTAGGTGTTAGAAAGCTAAGGCTTCTTTGCATGAGAAATGTCTGTAACCAGAATATGATTGTTTCTGATGCCCAGAATTATGCATGAACCTTTTTTGTAATAACTGAAAGATTCTGAGTAGCCCCTGCTTTAAGGAAATATGATAATGCAACCAAAGCAAATGAACTTTATTTTTCTAACATGGTAGGAATTATTTGAATTCTAACACCCCAAACTGTAGTTCCTGTGTATCCTAGTTTACTTGTTTCCTTTGTAGTCATTTATTTACATCTTAGTGTTTTTGCAGCACCAAAAGAATGTTATATAGCAAACTTTTAAAATAACTTCTGTTGATTATATATAACATAAAATAGATTTGATTGAACAGCTTATCTTCTACTTTAAATTTATGGAAAGAAATATAATGTCAATGTTTTAAAGAATTAAAAAATGTCTTGAAAGAAAAGGAAAAAGCTACCTACAGAAAAACAAAAGTAAAACATTAGATTTTTTTTTCAGAAACCATGCAAAGACAGCAGTGGAGTGAAGTATAATAAACACAGGCAAACAGGGGAATCATCAACCTAGAAGGCCTGTTACCAACAAAACTACCCTTCCTTCCAGAGTATGGGAGAAACAAAGGCTTACAGGACTAACAAAAATTGAGGGTGCCTTACCCACCAGAACAGATGTACAAGAAATACTAAAATAAATTCAGGAAAATAACACATACAGAAACCTAACAAGATTATGAGAAATGGAAATGTTTTAAGGCAAAGTCACAGAAGAAATGGGCCGTATTTGTCAGAAGGCATCTAAAGTACAGTGCTCACTGGAAATACACTAATAGTCATCTAAAGAACTAAAACTCTACAGCAAGCAAGCAACGCCCCTCAATAGGGAAAGCCAGGGAGTCTGACCCAGTGATGCACCTGCAGTCCCAGCACTTACAAAGGAAAACGGTGGAAACAGTTGACCTGACCTAGTGAGAGCATGGAGAAACCTAAGGCTAACATTAACCAAGAGAAAACCGGGTCAGCTAGAGTAACTTCAGACAAACAAAACGATCACAGCTATAGGAAAGTACTACACAATAGTAAATGAATGGGTCTATTTTTCATTATTTTAGGAGTGTTTCAGTCCCTTTACCCAGCAATAATCACAATATCCATCCTAGCAGTGGTGAATGGTTCTCGACCTGAGCATCGTGCTCTCCCTTCTCAACTACTTACTGTCCCTCTTCCCCACCCCCTTCACAAACAGCACAGGCACCAGTCTTGAAAACCCTCCTTCTTCCTGATCCTTCCCTTCCCAGCCTCCCTCCCCACTTCGTTCTCCCTGGGGACCACGGCAACACACACCTACGTTCCTTCACAGCATCACCTGAACTGAAAGAAAAACTAACTTTGGATCCTAACTCTTCACATCAGAAAAAAACTTTTGGCATTTCATCCTTGCGCCGCTGGCCTGGCCTCAGTCTTCCAAGCCCTGGGATTGTAGGCATGAACCACAGCTCTTGGCTCATTTTCCAACAGTACATGCCTACAGCTCTTCAGCTCTAACTAAAATACGCTTCCACTGACATAAAGGAAGGTGCACAGCAAACTTGAAAGGGATCAGGAAACTAAATGCACCAAGTTAGAATCAAGGAACATGGCTAACTTTGGAGCAGCTGCGATTCAATAGAGGCAATTACAACTTGGCAATCTTTCTCAAATTCAGCACTATGACATTCTAGACTAGATTACTCTTTGTTGTAGAAGTCACTACTGTACATAAAACAGCACCCCTGACCTTTACCCAGTCATCTCCCTGTGAGCTCTCACAATGGGGATGACACCCAGGATGAGCAG